GTGTATGTTTATCTCCACATGTTTGGTACGATCATGTTGGATTTGGTTGGGAGCAATGTAGATTTTGGCCTTATTATCACAGAATATCTATAGAGGGACAGAGGTTGGCATACGGAGTTCGCAGAGCATGATGTGTGGCCAGAGAGCCTCATAGATTCCTAAGGACATGAATCGAAATTCAGTTTTAGCACTGCTTCGGGCAACCGAATAATGTTTTTTGCTTTTTCACATGACATGATTTCTTCAAACGAATGAGCAATACCCCGAGGTGGAACGTCAATCATGAATAAATCTGACCCAATCAGCATTTGTATAAACAACAATAGACAAAGAGGTGTAGCAAGAAAAGAACAAACATGAGCCCGATGTGCCTTTTAAGTAGTGGGAATCCAATTGACAGTTTGGAGGTGGTGCTCGTATGGATCATTCGTCAATTGACTCACTATTTCAACTGCGTCGCATATGTCAGGGTGAGTATGAGCCAGGTAGATGAGTTTTCCCAGAAGGCTCTAGAAAGATGTTTTGTTGACCGGGACAACATTGAGAATGTCAGATATTTTTTTTCATTAAGATTCATATGAACAACAACATATTTGCACAAAAAATGTTGTTCTCTGTCAGGAGGTCAATCACAAATTTGCTCTAAGACAGGCAAATTCTCCGAGAGGATCGAGCCACTTCCATGCCCAAGAAGTACTAGAGAGAACCCAAATCCTTCATCTCGAAGGAAAAAACAAGAATGTTTTTTAAGGACTCCAGTGTTGGGAGATCGTTACTTCTAAGAACGATATTGTCAACATAGACAATAAGTACTACTTGGCCATTGGAGGAGTGTCGGAAGAAGAGGGTGTGATTCAATTGAGCCTGAGTAAAATCATGACCCATAACCACCTTTGTGAACTTGTCGAATCAGACCCTTGGGGACTACTTTACCCATAAAGAGACTTTCGTAGCCGACACACTTGTCCTCTAGAGGTAGTAAAATAAAAAACTCGGAGAGAGAAACATGTGCACGTCTTCTGTCAACTCACCATTCAAGAATGCATTCTTGACAAATAGCTGAAATAGATGTCAATACATATTCACAACAACTAACAACGGACCCGAATAGTGTTTAACTTAGCCACTGGAGTAAAACTCTCCTCATAGTCAACTCTGTAGATTTGTGAGTATCATCTCGCAATCAATTTTGCCTTGTTGCTTTTAAAAGACCTGTCAGCGTTGAACTTAGTGTTAAAAATTCATCGGCACTCTACAGTTTTCTTACCTTGAGGAAGGTCCACGATATCACGAGTATGGTTTCGCTGAAAGGCATTCATCTCCTATATTACTAACGTTTTCCAGGCTGGATAGGCAAAAGCAACATCAATAGTAGCAGGGATCTAATGGTCTATCAAGGCAGTAGCAAATGCTCTGTAGGTCGGCGATAAACTATGGAAAAACACACATTTTGTCATAGAATAAATGGGATTATGTATGATTGTGTACCTTCCTTGGAGAACTCGCCTTCTCATTCAGAGGAGGAAATGTGTTGAGGATTTCACCTGGAGTACAGTTAAGGTCCTGTAAGGAAGTAGTAGGCTCATGAGTTGGAGCATTGGGACAAGTGCATCGAGTGCATACACGGACAATGGGAGGTGGAGATGGTGCACTCAACGAGATAGGAGACTCCTTAGTGATAGGAACAATGGGGGGACTATCCATATCAGTAGAATAAGGGACATTGGAATACTTCCAAACATCTATAATAAAATGAACCAAGAAGTTTATTATAGATTTGGCATTAAAGATGCTTGGAAGTAAGAGTTTAAGTGCAATATTATATACATATCGAGATTTGGAGGTTAGAAAAATGATAGCTTAATTAACAAATCTTTGTAACAAGACTTTATGAATTGGAAGTCAAGTAGTTAGAAAATAAACATTTTGGTTAAGAACAAAGATTTTTCAAAATTGTGGTAACTATAAGGGAATCAAATACATGAATCATATTAATGCAACATATGCTTCAAAAAATTACATTAGTACTAAATAATTAATTTGCCCTAATTTCATAAAAATCAATTATAGAGCCATTCTTTCCTTCAAAAAATTACAGTTGCACTAGACAATTAATTTGCCCAAATTCCATAAAAATATATTATAGAGCAAATTTTTGTAAATTAAAAGTATAGTACAAAGAAATACTATTTATGTAAATTTTAATGACCATTAGAAGCAAAATAACCAAGCATTAAATTCATTTGATGGTAATAAGAAGAAAATGTGTCACATAAATCTCAATGCTAAATATGTATAATAAAATAAAAAATTAGTATTTAATTAATCGTCATGTTGCCAAATTATTTTATAATTACATCAATGATAAAAAATGAAGCTCATATTATTTTATATTGATTTTCAAGCTTAATAAAATATTCAAAATGGGGAAATAAGCTGTTTACTACTGATATGAGAGACCTAAGTTTGTAATATGAAATCTATCATAGATTTGAAATTAATAATTTATCAGTTATTACTGGTGAAAATCAAATGATGCGTAATTATGATAATGCTCAAGTACACTGGAGATATCTAACCCAAAAATCTTGTGACAAGATGAGTTATAGAAACTAGGTAGAGTAATTAAATAAGAAAATATCTCAAAAGAGTAACTGGAATAAAAACAAATAACAAAAACATAAGTTTATAAAATTGAAATTAGATTATATGGATATAGGCGTTGGTCACCAAGTTAACAGCTAGTTCAGTGTGAAAAGAATGTGAATGAATGCTTAGCCCTAGAAAAAATGAGAATATGTGCTACACTTTGGAAGATTAGAGTGAGAGATAATTGTATGTGGGAGACAGGAAATAAAATATATTAAAGAAAAAGTCGTGAAAAACAGAAGTAGTGGGTTTGTACAAGAATAATGTTAGGCAGAAAATGCTACACAATAAAATGGATAGATAAAATTACACTAGAAATGAGTAAAGTGTGAAAAAGACCTCTGACTATTTACATGGGGATATTTTAGTCCCAGAGTCTATAGAAGTGTCAAATGAGTTCTCAACCTCTTTAATATGGGGCTGAAGTAGTCCTAAATGGGGACTATTGAGGACTATTTCATCCCCATATTAAAAGAGCCTAGAAACCATATTGACACTTTCATAAACACAAGGGACTAAATGACCCCATATAAGGAGTCGGGATTATTTTAACAATTTTCACTACTAGAAATATTAATATGAAAGAAAAGGGATAAATAAAAGGCAGCATGGCTAAAAGGTGGAAAAAGACAAGCATCCAAACAGTTAACGTCTCATGTAGCACTCAACGAGAATGAATATAAAAATATAATTACAAAAGCAAACAGAAAAGGATAATGGACAGGAAGATGAACCTCATCTCTCAAAAGTAAATATGTTACAAAATAGTTTCCACGATATTTTTTTCCTCCAATAAAGCAGCATATAATAACCTTCAAATGTAGAATCTAGAAGAAACACTTAAACAATACCCCTAGAAACAGCTTGCAGGTTAGTCCCAGCTAATTCAAAGGTGCTGTTTTTCTTATCGCGTCATTGAACCTCTTTCTCAGGAAGGCTTGCAATCAGATATGAAGACTATATAATTCAATAGATGTTAGTCCTATGAGATTAAGACAAATAACATCGAGAACAAGGAACCTGTACAAGGACCCCTACTGATAGATTCATTACCTTAAAGATTTCAGAAAGGCCTTCACATAAAGTTTACAAACAAAATTTTGATATAACTCCCAAATTCGGCTCCAAAAAAAACACAATCAAGGTCATATTTCTCCAGGAATAATTGAATTTCGAAAAGATGATAAATTCTTCTCAAAGTGAGTTCATGCTTAAAAATATGATAATTATCAAAGAAGAATATTACATCAGATCAAATTGGATTGGATCAAGGTTACAGATAATATGAATGGCTTTCCATTTCAGTTTACCTGAATAGCAGAACAACAGATTTGTCAATTAGATCGATTCTGAATGGACCAGACTTCAAACCTAAAATTGTTGGAACAAATGGGTTGGTTCGGTTTGGTTCGGTTAACATCATTACTACTATCTTAGCATAGCACTAGTGAAAACATAACATTAAGTTAATTAAGATGAACCAATCAGTTAATATTGGCTTAAGAAGAGCCGATATATCAAGAAATTTGGTTTTGTTTCCCTCTTTTAACATGTTCGGACATCATAGACAGTATGACAATACAGTACATCAGATAATTGTCTTCCCTGAAAGCAGGTTGTGACAATCTTGACTACAAAAGTGGCATAAATTGATCTTAGCATCATCCTAACTACTTGCCAACCTTTATTTTTTTTTTTTTTAAATACCAACCTTGATTTTGGATTCAAGTATGGTGTATTTTGCTGACATTATTTCCTGAATCAATCCAATCAAATAGTTCACTGAATATATAGAGTAATACGTATAGGACCGCCAAAATTACAATATTTTAGAATTCAAATTCAGAATATATTAAGTTTCCCAATAATGTAATAAATTGTTCTCTATAAAAGCAATAATAAAAAATTCATAGCACCGCCAATTAGCTTGAGCCAAGATAGCTTTTGCACCACATTTTAACCTTTGGACTGGAGCTGTTTGGGCATGTGCCTAAAATTTTTATTGCGAAACGACTGATCAAACACCCTATAAGTTCAAGATTACTTATCAACTGAACAAAGTGGTGCCATGTTCATTTCAGTAATTAAGCCCAAAAAAAGCTCAATTTTCAGGAAGGTACATATGCATGCTTTTTCCCCCCAAAAAAATCAAAATGAGGAAGACAATATACTTTAAAAATTTTTTGCACCCAATTATTTGAAAGAAGAAATGATATACATTGGGAAAAACAATATACTAAAGAAAATTGAAATAAATATCACCATCAAAGAAAATCATCATCACAGATAAAAAAAAAATAATTGAAGAGAACATTCAGGCTGGGAAAAGAGTTTTAAGAGTTGTAACTTACTTGGCAAACATCAACAATAATAGAGTCATTTCGAGCTTTGTGGTTTTTCCAACTTTCATAAGCAACCTCCTCATCAGAACGGCCATCTGAATCTTTCACTTCTATATACGGTTTGTTTTTCACTCTATTTAAATCTTCATGCAACCCATCCAACAAAAAAGCCAGAAGCTCCTAAAAATAAGCTTCTGATAAGTTTCTATTCACCACCGAAAAAAAAATATAAAGCTAATTACATCTAGATGTTGATAAATAAAGACAAACCATATATGTAAAAAATTATTTCACTGTATGACATCCAAAAACTGCCATTGGACATATGTTTCGAAGGTGGGCTACAAATCAAAATCATTTCAGGCCTTCATTAACTAACATGGCATGCACTTAAGTATTAAATAATCTATCCATGATTAAAATACCAAAAATATTTGTGCATATAAATTTTGAAGATCATAATTCTCCATGAAAAATTAATGGACTTGAGACTAATCTGAATTTTCAATACCAGTAAGCCCATTAGAAATAGTTTTAGTAGATATATACACAAAGCATATGGTTGAAAATGCTATTATTCCAAAAGAACAAGTTTAGGTAAAGTCAACAGATATACCAAGTCAGGAAAGAGGAAACTTTGACAAGAATGCCACAATCAATCAAATACTGTTGATTAAAAGAACAATTTAAAAGAATTTCTAGTGTTTGTAAATAAACCCGAGCCCATAAAAATTAACTAAATATTTTAAGAACAAACACAGAAAAATGCAGCTCTGGAGGTTAGGTCATGCACCCCAACCTCTGAGTCGGACACCTTTCATAACTCTAGCATGCACGATGTAACCGCTTGCATGAGCCTTTACCACTAAGAAAACAAGAATACAAAGAAAAAAGGCATCACAAATTACCAAAAGAAAATGAATAAATGAATTTGACAAATCCAAGAGTACTCGAAGTTTCAAAAAGTTTGATGTCTTTAAAAATTTTAAACAAAAGGCAACGAAAAATGAATCCTTAGTAGATGAATTTGAAATATTTTTTTATCAAAAAATAGTTCATTCCAAGAAAGTCAGCAATAAGCTGCCATAAAAAGTACAGCAGTCTACAATAAGCATATTACAAGATACCATTTTGACATGGCCACTAACCACGCGGTCCACACCATAAATATTCGGCAGTGTTCTTATAAACTACAAGCCTCGTTAACAAATTTCATAAAACAAAAAGAGTACGATGAAAACAAGAATTCTTGAAATACTTACCTGGGAATCATGTTGGTTATAACCACTAAATTGTGGAGCAAACCGAGCTAGTTTCGTCTTGAATGCACGAGGAGCAACTGATGTTCTTCCAGATGACCAAAGTTTCCTTAGCAAGTCTCCAAATGAAAGTGCAAGCTCCCCCTTCAAAAAATGTAAAAACATTTTAAATGTTTTACAGTTGATTCACTTCTGAAGAAATGATGTAAGCATGTATTTTTAAATAAGAAGATTATGAAACAGAATAAAAGGAGTCGCAACTACAATGTTTCATACTTGCATCCCTAAAGGGTTCTTTGTGTTGATCTCTCTGGTATAATCTTGCAAAAAGTACTCGACTAAAGGAGGTGTGTGCACTAAACACTGAATCGCACTATTCATAAAACAAGTGTTTCCCAAATTTTGCAATCCTGTGAGTCCTCGATCATCTATTTTTGTCCCGTTGCTTATAATATCATCACCATCTTCCATATCCCTAAGAAAACTAGAACCAAATCCAACTGAAATCCCATTTGAGAGGGCAGGACCTCCAGCAATTGTTGTAGTAGACAATCTTGAAGGTTCAAAAGGAACCAATGCCATCACATTTTCTGTTAGATCCAATCCGATGCTATTCAACGCACCATTGGCCTTTCTCTCTAAGAGAATCTGCAAAACCAAAAACATTGAGCTTTAGCAAACAGAAACTGAAACCTAATCCCAAATAGAATAAAAACACCACACACACACACACACACACACACACACAAGTGATGAAACTTATACATGCAAGTGATGCTACGCAGATTATATACAGGCGTCACATGAAAGTTGTTCTGAATTTGAATTAAAATGTATTTAAAAGCTAACCATTACATAATGCATGCCATATCATGATCTCATCAATTTTAAACAGAATTCAAATTTAATAACATTAACTACATTTTCCTATAAAATATTGTATATATTATCAGCTCAGTTTTTCAACTTTTACAGTAATTTATTTACTAAAATATTTATCACTAAAACCTATGCCGAGGTACCATACCACACAATATTAATGCTAAAACCTAAAGCATAAGTTGGGTTTATTGTGATGACTTAATCTTATTTCTAAATGAATTTTTCATATGCATAAGAAATTATTTTGATTTTTGATGTGTGAAGTCATTCAAATTTCCAAATCTTAAATAAGCAAGTTGATTTTAATTAAAGTGCATCTGATAGTTTTGAGTGGTGAAATATAGATATTACTAGATTGCTTAAATGAAACTCTGTAAATCATAATCAATGGAGTGATCCTGAGTGTAAAAACCATATACAAAAAATAAGACATGAAAAACAATCATTTTCCTCGCATGAGAATAACAATTAAACTTATATCACAAATGCAATGGAATCTTAACCAGTCCTGAGAACTCCCCCGATCTTATTATCCTTAGCTCAGTCCCAAATATTATGTTGCACTCACTAAGGAGACCGAGCAAAACAGCTCGACAAAGTCCTGATGATCTATGTGAGATGAAATACAATTACATTCTTCATATATGTTAACTATGCAGACATTTGGAACATAAGTGGATGGTAGAACATGCAAAGATACCATCATCCTGATAATCCATATCAAAACAGGCAGTACAGAAAGCTGATCAATAGCCATTTAAACATGTAGACGCATGCACACAACCATAAAAAGATATGCTTCTTGATAACCTTATGAATAATAACTTAAAACTTTTCGAATTTTGGACCTTTCACGATATCAAAAATCCATTACTCCACCTCAATAAACCTCCTCCCCAACAGTCAATGCATAGCTTTCTATTAGGTGACAATTATCAATTATTACATGATTCATAAAGAGGAAATGTAGCCACCAATTTCTTCCCAAGATTCAAACCAAACAACACAATCTAAGTTACAGGCTGGAAAAGAAGGAAACCACCCTTACACAATCAAACAATGAATTTACAAATAATAATAATAATAATAATGTTGAGCCCAAGATCAAGAATTTCAAAATATTTCTAAATGGGCAAGGCAGAGAAACTCAACAAATTAAGCTTTTATTAGAAGAGTTTCCATAGTGATAGAAATTTTAATGGATTAGTAGTTTATATAGTCACATAAGTGTTTATCAAAAAATTCATCATAACGTGAAGATTAAGCAAGCAAATTTATCTTTAAAGCACATTAAAAGTGAGGTGGTAGGAGCATTCAGGTTCATCCAATAAAACATCAAAAAATTACCATGTGATTGTATTAATTGTTATTTAGTTACATCTTGAGCATAGTTTGAAGATGTATGCTTCAAGCCAAGGCTTGTCTTCATGTGATTGTAGTACTTGCTAATTAGTTGAGCATAGGTTGAACATGTATACTTCAAGCCAAAGCTTGTCTATTGTTTCAAATTCCATAGATGTGCCACTAAAATGACAGTTTTCACTTTTAGCTGTTTAACTTGAAGCTTTTTTTATTTGGAAACTATATGCCAAAGATTCGCCTAAGAGCCACAAAACAAATAAAAGGACCACTTTCAAGATTCAATTAGATGAGTTCCATTATGCACATTAGAGACAAGGATCAAAAACGGTAAGAAATAATCTTGGATTGCAACAACTGGCAAACACGAAGATAAATGATTGTTGAATTGAAATCTATAAAAGGTCTGTCTCAATTATAGCTACAAGGATAATGTAGCTTCAACAATGTTATGACATCACATGTAAAATAGGCTTGTAATTACAATGGTAGCATTTTGCAAGGAAAAGCTTCGCACATCAGATGCATTAGCACATATTGCACTGTAACCAAAAAAAGGCACTCAGTGAAATGTAACCAAGTAACAGCTTTTCTCAAGAATATCAACAACAATGCTGCAAGAATTCAAAGAACGTTTGGAAATGGAAATCCAAAGGAGGAGTTTTTTGTGCTTAGATGTGTTCGTTAGAAGAAATTCCACATCATAATGTTCAATGCAGCTGAAAAAAAGAAAGACTCGATAAGAGTTTAAATTGATGGAGAATTATTTTAAATCTTAACTAGAGAAATGTGCTTCTAGGTGCATATAATAGTGATTGGAAGAAGGTGACGTTTGGTTTCCATGGAAACTTTTCATGTTATTACCTTGAAAATCTCATGTTTATTGTATAAAACCTACAATTTTTTAAATGAAATAGTGTGGTTGATTGTCTTCTACAAAGCTAGGTGTGTATAATGATATGGTGTCAAACAAATATCCAAAAATAGAGCCCAATTAAGACACTTCGAAGAATTCCCAAAATGAACATATTAACATGTATCACAGTGGTAGCAAAAATATTATGATTCTTATGTGAAACTTTTAATGAAATTGACCTATCTTCTACATAGTCAGGTGTGTATGATATGGGGCTAGACAAAAAATTGAAAACCAAATATGGCACTTGGATTCAAAAGATGAACCTACTGGTCCACATCACAATAGTTCTTAAGGCTTATTACAGACCAAGGCAAAGGAATAAGGCGAGAATTTCACCAGACACGAGCGGAGCATAAACCATAAGGAACAAAGTGTATGCCCTGTGAAGTTAATATTTTTAATATTTATAAGAAAAAATATGATTAAAATATCAAATATAAAATCTGAAATAAACTTCAAAATTCAAAGTCGATAATTAATGATTAGATTTCTAAAGTTATGATAAATTATAACCTAACTTACTTATAAGGGTTATAATTCACGATCGAAATATACTATTGCAGCACAAGATAAACTGTAAACTAAACTTATATATTAATCAAATTGATTAATGAAAAACTGACTATTAAATAAAGTAGCTACTGATGTGTTTTGCTTTTGCTATTTGCTTTTGTTCATGAGAATTAGAGATATCATCCTACATACAGGATTTTACGAGATCACAATATATGGATATCATGTGCCATGAAACGAGTCAAACTTCATATCAGAGACTTCCAAGCATAAGAATGTATTCTTTCTTAGTTTTTGAACAGGATTCTCGTCTGCAGTCCAAATTCAAAAAGTTTTTTAAACACCAAAATGTCCATTATTAGACTTCGGTCAGCAGGTCACCATACAATCAAAACTAAAATTGACTGGAGAGAGTCCAATTAACCAAACTGTCCTAACAGACACTCCAAGGATTATTAATTTAGTAAGCATAAGAAATGAATATTTTTAAAGCAAAGGGTTGTTCTAGCTTAAAAAACGTATATATTAATAATGCAACTAAGTAGAAAATAGCATCTTAAAAAAACAATTTCATTATACCATAACATAAATTCAAGCTAAAGCAGACAAATAAATTGCCAAGTTGTCTTCAGGCTATGTATATTAATGGAGTGGAGGTTGGTGGGGGTGGAGATGGTGGAGTTGGGCTATAATTTACCTGTTGATTCATTTGTATTTTTGCTTCCTCCAAGGTTTGGTCATAGTTTTCCAGTAGATCATGCTTTTCCCCATTGAAATAATCCCATATGGAAACCTGCAATTCATGAAAAAACGTTTAAGTCCAGGGATAGCAATTTTATTGTATATAGAGGATCTTGGAGCTTGATCATAAGATGAGACTTGCCTGTGCCTGATCGAGCTTGAGAAGCCTGCAAACCTCATCATAAAGCTCTCTAACTGAAGCCTGACGAAAGAAAACAAATCTTCTTTAAATCAGTATAGGAGCCTTAAAAGAGAAATCTTCACTGTCATTTATAGTTATCACATAAAAATGCAAAGAAAAACAGTGAAAAGAATTCCCAAAGCACAACACAAAATCGTAGAAATCACTTCACATTTACTCCAATCCACAGGCCAACATACAATGCCTCCCCAGCCAAAGCAAGGAACTAATCAGAGTTAATCCAATCAACTGCACCAGCGTAAGCAGTTCCCAAGTGCAACCACATTTGATAGTCAAGAAAGAAATGCCAAAAATAATCAATCCCTAAAAAATATGTGGAAGGATTGATTTGCAAAAATGAGGACTTAATCGAAAGAATTGCAATTCAATTTTTTTTACGGAGCACACCTAAGGAGAGAGGTAAATCCAAGTGAAACAAATCAAGGAAATTACCCAACGTTCTCTCTCTTATTCAATGCTGCATAGCTGACCACCCTCTTAGGAAATCCAAGGGAATATTAGCTTGATTTAATCTATAATAATCCATAAATTAACGGATTGTTAGTATATTTAAGATGAGGTTTCTAAAATGTTGCAAAAAAAACCGGTGATATCATAATGGGTTTTAAAACCTTAAATGCTTTGTGACTAGTGTACCACAAGAGTTGATTAATTATTGATGTATTGCACTTATCTCAAAGCAAATATAAAGACTTCAAAACAACGATCCTGACAAAAATTTTAGTCAAATATTCTGATCATGACTTTCTCAATTAGCTCAATTAAATTGAATTTGGATAGGCATGGATAAACTTAACGATGGAAAATTCAAACTTCAATCAAAAGAAATTAGTAGTTCCTTACTACCTTTCTCCCCTCCTCTACAAATGCTCCCTATTTTAATTTTAGCACACCAGGAGACTTACAGACTCCTTTCTCTCACTACCAATAGCAACGATAGCCACCCTTATCCCATTCAAATGGTTAGATTCTTATCAGCGCCAACTACATGATCCTAGGAGATGTTGATATAAGCTAGTTAGACTTCCTCTCTTATATTTTGGTGTTAACAATGAAAGTAATCAATGTTTAAATCCAAAAAAACAAGGAAAAAACAAATATTATTATCCTTGAAATTTTCTAACAATTCCGAGATCCTTCAGACCTCAATTGTAGATCACAAATAAGATTATATGATTCGTGTTCAACATCCCAATTTCCATTCTAGAGTGGCATACAACATAAAAACTATAACAATACTCAAACAAAATTGGGAGGTCCTACACTCAAGAAGAAAAGAACTTAAATTTTAGAATTTCTACTCTTTTCATAGGAGCAACCATATAGCAAAACTATAATCACAAACAAAATGAAAAAACAAATGATTTTAACGATTTCAAGAGCCTTCCTTAAAAAAAAAATACAAACAATGATTCTTTGATTTTCATCACTACAACACTATGACGAAGCCAGAATCACAAAAAAAAAAGGTAAAAAGAATGAATTTTGATGCATTGATAACCCTTCATTAAAAATGCATATAAAGTGGTAACTAGCATGCTTATCATGAAAAAAGAAACCAATGCACACAACAAAGCACATCACAGAGTATTGAAACATTTAAAAATTTAACAAATGTTGTCCAAGTCCACAAAGTTGTATAAGCAACTCACATGAAAACTTCCAAAAACCTTTAGCACTAATGTTTTTTTTAAATTATTATTTTGCAGCTCCTGTCCAACCGAAAATTCTATAATCACTATGAAAAGCGCCATGTTCATCATTTTGCAGCATATCAATGATTAACAGCAAACAATGGTGTCAAGGATATTGTTTTAGTTTTCCGTTCACCTACATATATAATATATATATAATTAGCTCATTTTTATGATATCAAAGGAAAATTCGCTGCTACATACATTCTTTTTTCTTCCCTTTCTAAGAATAATTATTGTAGCAGACTGAACAGTCGTGGCAAATGCTCACTTACTAGATAGAATCAAACCATCATAGTCTCCAATGCCATCTTGATCCACATCTCATGTCCACCTGAGCCACCTAATCACAATTCCTACTATATATACATTGCAACAAATTTTAATGTTCTCATCACTGTCACTTTATCTTCCAGCCACTAAAGCCGATGATGACGTATTTTTATTTGTTGTACCTGTCTAAGATTACGAACCATCGCTATGTCTTCCAAACACTAACGCTGATGATGATGTATTTTGGTCTGTTGTATCCGACTGAGCAATCAGATTATTTGATCATTGTCTCAACAATGTTGACATAATCATATTATCATAAAACATAGTTCGTATGCCATACATGACCTAGGAGTGATGTTGCTCGGATCTGATAAATTGAACTCGTCATGTTGTCCTTTATCACCAATATTGAAGAAAATAAATTCAACAGTTCCTAAGGTGTTATTCTATGTGACATCAACGTAAGAGATATTAAGCAAGCATTTGCCAATAATTCACTCTTCAAATTACTACCAGAATCTTACGAAAAGATATTATTTATCTTTATCAATGGCCACAAGAGTTGACGAAACTGCCTAGGCTGAATAGAAGCACTTAGGGGTTTTTATTTTTTTATTTTTTTTGCATTTAAATAAAAACTAATTAGGTTAAGAAATATTTTTTGGTTAGCTGTTTTTAATTTTTGTCTTTGGAAAAAAATTATTGTATTTCTAAAAATTTTGAATCACCATATAATGTTTTCACTTGTTTCCAAAACAAACAAACAACAACTACTCTTTGTCACACTAAGTGTGATCGGCTACATGAATCATTTTTCTCCATTGTATCATAATTGAGTGTCATATTTTATTTTCATTTAATTATAACAAATTAAGATCATATTTATACAACATTCCCCCCAAGTCTTTGTAGGTTTATTCCAAAACATAAATTATCAAAATAAAAAACAATTACAATTCCAAATATGAATCTATTTTAAGGAAAAAACAAATAAAAACATAACACAAACAAACATGTCCTTGGCAATCGTGCTTCAATAAATGTTTAACTAAAGAATATAGTTAAATGGGAGTACTAAAAAGCATTCCAAGTCTAATTAGAAATTTCATATAGTCTAAAATTTGATCCACTCATTAGACCAATTTGAAGTTCATTTATTCATGTCCATTTGAATTTCTTTAATGATAATACCAACCATTATAGATGTTATAAATATGGTTAGCACTTGGACTCCTCACTTGCAATAGAAATAGGTTCGAAAAATCATTTTTGAAAGATATAAATGAATTAATGCAATGTGTGCAGAAGGAGAAGCAGATGATTAAAGGTGGAGATGTAAAAAGATAAAATGGTTCCAACAAGCTGAATTATGTGATTGTATGGAATTAAGGATAAAATATGATGGAATTAGCTAAACTTGATTTTGCATTGGCATGTGATTAGCAATAGAGGGAAGGATAGAATAAGTGATCAATTGTCTCCTATGTGAGCTAGAGGTCAATTCGAATCACAAAAACAAGCTTTCAGCATATAAGGGGTAAGGGTGACTATTGCAATGTAATCACGAGGAAAAGAAGATAATTAGTGGCTGTTACATAAATGGATATCTAGGCTTTAGCAGGATAGGCCTCATGATGGTATGAAATAGAGGAAAGAAATGAGGTGAAAGAAACTAAAATTAATTTCCAGTAGCATATGAGCTTGCAATATAGAGAAAGCCAATAGTAGTAAGTTGACCCAATATGACTTGAGGGTCACGAGTTCAAATAACATCAAAAGCTTCCCTGCAACGTAGGCCTAATGTTATAGACATCATCTCCTTTCCAAACTGTGCATTGGTAGAAGCTTCACCTATGCATGAGAAGTCCTTTAATATAATCTTACATAAATAAGCATATACTTCAAGGTAATTGGAGAGCATTTCAGCACCTTAAAAGTAGAGAAAGTAAATCACATTTTTTTTTTTACTTTAAAAGAAAAAAAAATACTTGCAAAGGAATCATGTAATTGCCAGAGAAAATTTGGTCACATAACAGAGCAATTCTTGTGTATTCATATCCTAGAATCATAAATAATTAGCATAAGTCAGATAATTGAACTTGAAAGGCAAGATGTTTTCAATATTTTAGGATATACTGTTAGAAGATGTTAATTGGATTTCTATAGTTATTCCAAAGTTAACGTGCGTTTGGACGGTTGGATGTTATAAGAAGAACGAAATGATAAGAGAGATTACAAAATATAAATCATGTAAAGAGAATTGGTGAAGGAATGAGGAGATACAAACAATTATTTAAGGAAAAAAATTATTTTCAAAGAATGGCAAAAAATAATTATCACACAACGGCAATGAGGGGAAGTGTTGCAAGGATGTTAATAAGCAATGCAAGAGAAACCACTTTATGAACATATATGAAAGTCTAGCACCAATTAAAAAAATGATATATATAAATGATTCAATAAACATATTGCTAAGCTACAATTAAAGAGATCTTTCCTTCCAAAAGTTCAAAAAAAAATGTCAAAAAAAGAGTAAAGCTCATTCATATAATCAATTTAGTATATAATTTAATTAATATATCAGATTGCATTCTAATCTTGATTATAAAAAAAATCGAAACTAGCTTGTCTTTCAAAATTACTATAAATTTTAACAAATTTAAATTTAAGGTCTTCAACATGTTCATTGCAAATTATTTTAAAAAATTTATTTGCACAGATATTAGGCCATTCACTTGCTTAGGGTCTATTTGAGGCTCTTGTTGCGGGGAAGCTGTGTGTTTGTTTGTTTTGCGTAGTTGTGTGCAGTTGTTTAAGAACAAATGACGTTTCCCCTGCAGTATAGTGTTGTTTACAACATAATAAGTTTTGCTTGTGCATTTCGTACTTGAAAACAAATATTCAGTTTGAATGTCACAAAATAAAAATTAGGACCCAAAATAGTAACACAACAACCAAGATTAAAAAATAAATAAATAACAATTAATATTACCATAACATTATTTTTAAAGTGCAGCTGATTAATGTCAC